TGTATTCTTATAGGTCTCAGGGCTCATTTCTTAATGCACATAGTTCCGTTTGATACTAATACGTCCAAATGGATTGCGGACTTGCGATGCGATCCTGCTCAGGGCACTGTTCCACAGGCAGCGCTCGCGACGCGAAGTGGCCGCGCTAAAGTTCTTGTATCCCTGCATAGAAGGAGTATTGTTGTTACGCCTTGTTGGCGAAATTGCCCGGCCAAAAGACTGCGGGCCGATTATTTAATTTTATAGACAAAGCTATCGACAAAGAAGTCATTAGGAGTATAGAGCGATCCTATTGGTTTAAGTGGGTGGCTCTTATAGACTAAAGGGGTAAATGACGGACTAACTATTGGGTCTCTCGTAGGTTGCCGTTAGTTAGTCTCTTACCTACGTCCTTTGTCCATTGCAACCACCCACTTCCACCAATAGGATCCCTTCATATCCTTTTTGTCTTCTTTGTCTATTGCTTTGTGTATCAATTTTAATAATCAGCCCGCTGGGCAACTTGTTTGCCCTGCTCGTCCGTGGACTGGCCATCCCCGTCGCCTAGTCCTTGAACTGGGCATGCAAGTCCACAGACGGGCCGATCAGAAATATGAAAATTAAGCCAGAAGGCTGGTCGTTAATTTACATGAAATCCATACGCTAACCGGCTGACCCCCACTGACAATTTTTGACGAATATTTCGAGTATTCGAGTAATAAAATATTTTTTTTTCTTTAAAAAAAAACTTAAAACTATCGGAATGAAAAACTTAAGCAAGTAAAAACAATTTACAGGTCACAGGAATAAACGTCACTTGTTTTTTTTTTTAAAAAAAAAAAAAACAATCTCCTCGGAGTTCTTAACCTGTTTTCATTTTAATTTTATTACAAGTATGTTGGATGTGCGTGTTGCATGTCCAAAAATTGAAGGCACTCCCTATTTTCTCACCTCATCAGAAATGCACGAGAGTTGAAACTGGTTGTAACACCCGAAAAACAGAGGGAAATTATTGCATCTCAATCATTTTACAACAAAAAAGTGCTGATCTTTGATTGGTCTGCAAGTTTCAGGCTTTCGCGGAGCCTTCGGCTCGGCGAGGCGTGAATAGAATCAATATTAAGGTGTTCGTTGCGAACTCCCTGTTCGTCGATCCTTTTCCGTATAGGTTTAAATGGCAGATCAATCTATGTATCACAAAGCACGCCACGCAAACCAAGGCTCGATGTAAACAAACAAGATGATGACAAAGTTCTATACGTAATGATGCTTTTCTAAATTCAAAACTCTTGAAGAAGTTCTGAACAAATTTTGGCGGATATTCCCCCGAAAGTACATTTTTGTCAGTAAATATCATTCATTCTTCCTCAATAGTAGAAATTCTACCAGATCGCGGTTTTTTTTTTACATCAGTCCTTGAAAGCCCTGTGAAAAAGTTGTGAACCAATCGAAGAACTTCATGCTGATGGTAGTAATCTGCATAAAATAGGTGCTCCAGGGCCCAAGTGGCACAGGTTGCACTATATTGCATTCGCATCATAAAATTTTTGTTACTGTATTGGAGTGTCTTGCATGTTGCCTATTCACTAATTGAAGGGGCTCATCTTGTTGAAATTCATCGAAATTACATGCATTGTAATAAGTTGCTAATTTTGGTAATTTTGTATTGCAAATTGCCTACCTTCCTCACACATGGAGTCCATTTTGATCGCTCAAACTTGGCATTTATTTACAAAACGATATGAAAAAATATCGCACTATTATTTCGTTTAATTACAAAATTATTTCAAAGTTTCCATTGCATTGTGCTACTCAGGGTGCAATATTTTTAAACCTGTCCGTTGCCACTGATGTTCTCGCGTTGCGCGCTGCCGGTTAAACTGTGGCTTCATTAAAAACGGCGCGATTTGATGATGATCGCGCGACTCCGTGATTTAGCTTTTATGACGTGACGCACAGTGAATAATTCACGTGCACGTCGTTAACTCACTGGCTCTTGACGAGACGGACGAGGGGCGCGCAGGGGAGGTCATGAAAGGGAAGTGCAAGATCGTAAGTGAATAATAACTGGATAATTCTAGTCGGTGCATCTTCACCATGAGATGCCGTCTGTCACTTTTCCTCATAACTCACTCCGTTGTTCCGTTTTTCTTCTTCTTCTTCATCATCATCTTCTCATTCATACTGAGAAAAACCTCCGGCTGTGAAATCCGTACCACATGCGGATCTAGACACCTCAAACAAGGGGAGAGGGCGTAAGAAGGGTTGGCGGGCTTTTTCAGAAAATTGTCGAAATTTTCAAGGACCTAATTTATAGTATCAGTCAATTTTTCCAATAAGTACCAAATATAAGCGGTCTTCCGTCTTCTGGCGTGGCGTGCTTCGCGATACATCTATTGATCCGCCGATTGAACCTATGGAGAAGGATCGACAAACATGTTTTTCGCAACGAGCACCTTATTAATCGATTCTTTACCATAGGTTCAAATGGGAAATATCGATAATCGATCATTCATTCCTCGCGGCTGATGTTGCTATAAACTTAGTGCTCAGCTCTTGAGCTTCAATTTCATTTGAACGTTGAGCACGTATTCATACAGTGACAATTAAGTAGATTCTATTTGGCTTTTACTCGCCTGACTTCACAATTGATTTCTCGCGATTTTTTTACAATACCTGACATACCTCCACTATAATTGCCACTAAGAAAAGCATTTGTAGGAACGGAACCAAAGATTATCACCAAAAAACAGTAAAATACATCATGCAAGGAAAATTTCTTACTGTGACAATATACATGCAATTTTTCACCGTGCACTTCTTGCTTCCTAAATATTAATTTAGATTAATTCTAGAGCGTATCATTGATTGATTAAATAGGCACGGTTGATCGATACATCGTGCACAATTGGCTTGTATAAGCACTCTGCGTTTCTCCATTAGGAGGTGCAAAACGATTGTCGGAAGAGAAAAAATTATCATTATGAGGCACATTTGCAAGCGCGATACAAAAAGAGAGCATTACGATTCTGATCTGTCTACATTAGCATGCTTATTTATCTCCTTTTAAGGCCTGTCTCTTAGGGATTAATTTTATCATGCGAGACTCTTCAGTTCAAGTGCTACCTCAATTAAAGAGGAAGACGAAAGGTGAAGAGACCGAAAATATGAAAAAATACTTGACCGAAGTTAGATGCATCGAATATTTTTTTTGACAACGAGCGATTCACAATCACACGTGGACGTCTTTAACATGGTCTAATAGTTCCTCTCAGAGGACGGCTCTGTAATCGATCGATCAGTCGATTGAGTTCTGCATTTTAGGCATTCTTTTGTCAACGTCACATCATGCTGACGTATGCGTAGGGTATTCGTGCACAAGATTTAACCGAGAAACACTGGAGAGTAACTTTGGAAATACGTTCCGAGTGAATATCGGAAGCAGTGGCGTGGCTTGCTTTGCGATTTATCGAATGATCTGCCACTGACACCTATGGAAACGAATCGACGAATAAGGTGGTCGTAACGAACACCTTTATTATGGATTCTTTATCAGAATATCGATAATCGATCATTCACGCCTCGCCACTAATTGGAAGTCGAAAAAAAAGGAATTGCGAACGTACTTCTGGTCTAAAACGTTTCCCGGTCAAAATTTGACTAAGATTATTTGTACTTAACACCAGAATGATGCCACGTCCGGGGATTTTATAAAAACGGTGATGGCTGATTGGCACAACTCAGCTTCAGACGTAGCTTCGCTACGTTAACTTGACCGTCGGCTTTCAATTAATTTGATTTTCAATAATCTTTCTACCCTTGAAGTAATTTTTTAAAAATACTTTTCCGCCATTTTCGGATCCTAGAAGGATCCATTCCGCCTAAGATGGCTGATTGTAAGCCAATGAGAGATAGTAACCGCAGTGACCATACTCTCCCTATAAAGGTACTCTGTGACATTAGAGGCTATTTACGTAGAAGAGAGTGTCTCTTGGCATGTTTTCGGACCTCAGTTCAGGTGACTAAACATTAGGGTTGAGTTTCTGGAAAGGAGAACTTTAGAGGGCCATTGAAGCAAAACGTGAAAACGCACGTGAGTTCCTCTCACCGGTTGCATATTCGGTAGCTCATAATTATTTTACAAATATTCATCGAACGTCCAAATGTCAACAGGAAAGAAATATGTTTGTTTTCGTCCTTTGAATCAAGGAGTCAAACGATCGCAACGCGTAGCTTGTTGTGGCCCAACTGCTGGAGGCGTGGCCGTTTGCCAAAACCGGTTCATTATAATTCGTGATTTGCACTCATAAATAAAGTTGCCTATGCTTCTGGCCACCTGAAACACTCATCGAAGACACCAAAATATAGGATTGACGTGAGATTCCTCGGGGGACTCAACCAGATGAGCGTTTGACTTCCAATTCCGTTGGCAGATAATTATTTAAAAAGTTGATATTTTGTTTTCGCTCTTGTGCCTTGAAGAATTCGGACAAATAACTGTAAAAATGCTCATTTCTGGAGGAATTTTTCTACCAAATTCTGGGAGAAGTAAAGTAGAGCTCTCGTCTTGAGGAAATAAAAAAATCCAAAAGTAAAAAAATAATATTCAGCTGATTAAAATATTGTTCAAAAAAGGATCTACTTCATTCTTTAGGACGGTTAAAGAACTTTTTGGGTAAAATATCGCAAGTTTTATTTCATCTATTATAAAGTAGTTAATTTATACATGATTTTAGGTCAAAGCTCGTCATTCACCATGTCGGTAGGTCAAAATCCGAAATTAGGGTGATGACTGTTGCTCCCATATAATTGTCCATAAGGAATTGTTGAATCCCCGAAAGTAAAAGCTTCCACCATCCACCTGTCGTCAAGAGGCTAATGGAGGGTCTCTTGTCTCTGGTACCATACCACTATGCAGCGTGCAACGCTCTAAGCGTTGTGAATTATGTTTTCATTCCATTTTATTTCAGCATCGTTGAGTTTTCAGATTATCTTATGCATTGTTTTTTTTATGTTTCTAGTTTATGCGAGGTGTGATCGGGACTTTAACCCGAATCAAAGTTTCGGATGAGGATATAGTGGACAGCGACGCGCCGAAGTTGGCCCGTGTCCTTGACCTGTTCGACCTGACGTTGCTCGGAGTTGGGACCACACTCGGGGTGGGCACCTACGTGCTTCCGGGTGCCGTCGCCAAAAACACCGCCGGTCCCGCTGTCACCGTTTGCTTCGCCATTGCTGCCGTTGTCTCAATTTTGGCTGGTAATCATTTCACTAACAGATCCAAATAGGATAAACTGAGCTTTTTCGTTCCACGTGGGTATTTGCAATGGAGAATGGGCCTGTTGCAAACTTTTGCTAGAGCAAAACTAAGAGTTGTTTCCTGCAGATAATGCCTCAAAAATCACGATGAGCGCATCGGCAAAGTCTGAAATGCACTCATAACTTCACAATCTGCGTAAGATTTTTGCGGTTTTTTGAGCTTCCCGCTTCGAAAACGATACTACGGTACAGGTGAACATTTTGTTAGAGGAGTCGTTCCATTGGCGACAATACTCATCATGGCCGACGCCAGTCCGCCAAAACACGTGTGATGGGACGAGATAACACCTGAACAGGATTAAACCATATAACAATCGGCGTGTTTACGTTCATATTTTCCTCACCCGCCTTAATTGACCGTGAACTCTCCTCGAATTACGCGAGGAACTGCGCAAGCGTCGGCCATAATGAATATTGCCGACGATGGAGCGACTCCTCTAACAAAATGTTCACCTGTGCAGTAGTATCGTTTTTGAAGCGGGAAGCTCAAAATAACGCAAATTTCTTACGCAGATTGTGAATTTATGAGTGCATTTCAGACTTTGCCGATGCGCTCATCGTGATTTTTGAGGCATTATCTATAGGAAACAACTATTCATTCTGCTCTAGCAAAAGTTTGCAACAGGCCCATTTGCAGGTGTCTGAAATTTGATGACCCTGGTAAAATTTGGCGATAAGAGCTGCGTTTCAAAATAAATGAACCAAACGATACATCGAACCACTATCGAATACGATCCGTTGGCCTTAGGGGTACAAGAACCATACTTGGGGAGTAGCCAAGTTGGTCCCCGAGAGTCCGAGTTGGTCCCCTTTCGAAATCAGGAATTCTACTCTATGCATAGTGGATCGAGTCGATGCGAGAGGTCGGACAAAGTGTAGAAACTTTAAGAGCTTATAACTCCGTTTATACAAAATGTTGAGCTTCTGAGAGTGATTTCATTGGTTTCCTCGTGAATTTTTCCTTTAGAAACACCCCTACAAATTTAAAATGTGACCAAATAAACATCAAATTTTGCAGTTTTATTTAACAATTTTATGTCCGACCTCTGTGATTGACTCGATCCACTCCCCTGGTAAAAATTGGCGATAAGAGCTGCATTTCAAAATACCATAGGAATTCTTATAGCCGGCTAAAGAAGGCTACAGAAAATCATATAGCTGGCTGTAATGCGGAGAAAATCATACGGCCAGGCTATACGAAGCGATAAAAAATTATGCAGGCGGGCTATAGTTCCTATCGCCGGGCTTTACACTTTATCGCCTGACTGTTGCTTTTTCGCCATAGATTACAAAAGGCTATAAGAAATTGTGTAGAAATTCGTGGGATTTGGAAATCATTAAGTTTGATACAAAAGCACCTTAATATTTACAAAACACACGTAATATTTTCCTTTAATACATATTTTTTTTCATCAATTAAAATGAGAATAATCCATACAGGATGTGAAAACATTTCAAAATCATGAGTTGAATAACGCTGACTCCGCCAGATTAAATATTAGAGCCTAACACAAAGCGGAGCGGCGACGCACTGGCGCCTACAAACCTAACAGAGATACTCCACGCATTGCGCAATGCGTGAAGTATCCCTGTTAGGTTTGTAGGCGCCAATGCACGTTACGCGCTGGCTGCCCGCCTGCCGCGCCGCAGCGTGCCACGGCGCTTGAAGTAACTATTTCACACCAGAGGTATTGCACAGTATCATACGAAACTGAAGGCGCTATAATATATTAGTAATGGCATGGCATCCATCAAAAGTACGGAGCTTTCCTCGCAAAATAAATCAAGATACTACGGCCCAAAAAGAGAGCAGTATTCCAAAAACTCACTAAGTCCTAGCATCCGTAATTAGTAACGTTTAGCATACACTTTATCGCTTGGTTGTTGCTTAATCGCCATCGGCTATAAAAGGCTATAAGAAATTGTTTAGCCGGCTATAGAAGCTATTGGAAATCTTACAGCCGGCTGTATAGGTCTATGGTATTTTGGAACACAGATTCTACTACCAATTTTTACCTGGGGAATTTCGTGTTTGAATGGACGCCACTAAGTGAACTGAACACGAGGTTATCCTTGATCCATAAATTGAACAATTATTGGAGGGGATATGACAAAATGATATAATCGCTAAAATTCATGCGTTTGAATGGGAAATGCCGCCAGATGACGTCACTACGAGGCGCATTTTCTCACTTTTACATGTATTTTTATACTATTTCCCATACCCGAAAAAAATTATATAAAAATACTGCAAAATCAGCTTTTTAGGCACTTTCAGATGAAACAATGAAAAATTTGCTGCAAATTCTCCATTGAACGGATTAAATAATCCGTTCAATGGAGAGGAGCGTAATTGCCAAAAGTCAAGTTTCGAAAGAACCGGAAAAATCTTGATTTTTCCTTCGACAATGGAGCTCTTGCATGTGTCAGGCGATTGTGCAGTTGAAGTACTAATTCCTAGATACAATTTTGCGAGAAACACGATAGATGGTACCACTAGTTTTCTCTGAAATCAACTCAAAAGATCAAAAAAAGCTCTCAAAGTTGAGGTCATAATGGAGGGAATATCCTACACCACCCAGACCACCCTATGAGAGTCATCAAAACAAACTCTCTATGCAAAGATAGGGAGAAAATGCATTAACTGGGTTGCCGTGTTTTAAGTTTTGGAGTCCCCAAACAAAGTGGCAACCCTGCCAATGTATTTGCTACCTACCTTTGAATAGAGAGTTTTTCTCCTCTCTGGGGTGGACTCTCAGGGTAGCGTAGCATATTCCCTCTATTATGGCCTCAACTTAAAGAGCTTCTTTTAAGCTTTGGAGTTGATTTAAGTGGCATCATCGTGTTTCTCGCGAAATTTAACATAGGAATTAGTACATAAATCTCAAATTTCTGACACATTCAAGAGCTTAATTGGACTGCATTTCGCAATTCGTAACTTCATTTTCTGCCTCATAGATAAAAATATCTTTCTGTATCGAGAAACCGATGGCATATATGTTGTTTCCAAAATGAGCCCGAAATTGTAGATCTTAATTGCAAAATTTGGTCCAATTCATCATAATTCTTTTCGGAATCAAAATCCAATGTTTTACATATCTGTGGTGAAACTACCAGACCACGTACTTCGTTTGCAGTGTTTTAAAAATCTCCGCAAAATCTTATTTTTATTTTTTGAAGTAGAACAAATCAATAACATTTCTTGAAATGTTCACTGAGTTTTCTTCGCATGAAGAGTAAAAACCACGGAAGTTTTCTAGGATTGACGTTGCGTGTTTCTCAATTTAAAAAAGAAAGTATGACATATAGGAAAGTCCAAAACATCGCAAACCGAGATAAGTGGTCTGGTATTTTCACCGTCGATATGCCATCTGTAATACGACCACGGTCGCATGAGTAGGGTCAAAGAAATTCAGAAAGAAAGAAATAATTTTAAAATTATAATGAATTTTCCCCTCTACCACAAAACTACTCCATACAGTCATTTTTTAGCAATACTAAGACAATCAACTAGCATCCGTGTTCGATGACGATTTTTTTTTCAGAGTTGAAAGTCGGGCAATTGCTATGCATTCTTACTTATTTTTTCTTTTTATCTGTTAAAAGCTTTATGTTATGCTGAATTTGCTGCCAGGGTACCGAAAGCGGGATCAGCTTACGTCTACTGTTACGTCACAGTCGGCGAGTTTTGTGCATTCATAATAGGATGGAATTTGCTGCTTGAGTTTGTCATTGGTAAGTTCAAGGTGTTTCAGGTTTTTACGACTTATCAATTCACGCGGGAACCTGTCAGCCATTAAGAGAGCCCCGCTCTTAGACGACAAGAACGCAATGTTAAGTGTTCATGAGGCTGGATTTTCCTTCATTTGACAGAGTAGGCAACACGAGCTCCAGGAATAACAACAGAGCAGAGGTATGCAGGAACTAGTTGTCATCATGTACATGAAATAGAGCAAAATTGCAAGCAACAATGATGGGATTTAAAGAAACAGGATGCAGATATGTTGGTGTAAACTATTCATCTATAGCGTGGTTTATTATACCAATACTCTAATTTGACTAATCTGATAACCAAGAAATGCCCTTTCTGCACCCAGCGCTTCAATTGCAACTTTATTCCGCTAAAACCACGTTTATTTTAGCGCCTTCAATTGAAAGAATAGGCATCATACAACCGCGACTAAAAAACCGCACTGATACAGCAACTTCAATCCGATTTCCCTCAATGGGTGAACTACCGCCAGGAAAGTTGCAAATTGCAACTTGCAATACATTGACAATGCGGCCATTAGTGCCGCTACTTGCAGCAATCAGTACTATTTAGACAGATACCTCTTTTGTGCTGATCTATCATTAGTTTGTTTTGTTTACTTCGCAGGTACAGCAAGTGTAGCGAAAGCGTTCACCGGCTACGTCGATGCACTTTTTGGGGGTGGCTACGCTTCCATGATGCAAAGTGTCATGCCGATGCATGTTTCCTTCCTAGCCCAGTATCCAGACCTCATGGCTCTGTGCGTCGTCCTATTGTTTTCACGTAAGTTGAATTGGGCCTTCAGCTTTCTTCTATAAAGTTCACACACAGTGGCCGTTCTCAAAAGTTGACAACACAGTTTTTTCTCAATTTAAGTGTATGTAAAATAATCGATTCTTAGTGAGGCAGCTTGCCTCGCCTGAAATCGATATTTTTAATGGATTTAAACGGAGGAAAACAGTGCTGCCAACAAGCAAAATCGGCACTTTTCACACAAGGAGCTTTGAAGCACGTTTCAAAGCAAATAAACTTGGAAAGTGAAGTAGATTCTATTAAGCTCGAAAGAGACATGTGTGGCGATTTCAAAAACGCTCTATTTCGTCCATTTAAAGGCAAATAAAACGATTAATATTCTTTGAAACGTGCTACTTCACCATGAATCACCGTTAGTCGATCGACAAACCCATTAATCGATCGACAAACCAGTGAATCGATCGAACCGGTGACGATCGGTTCACGTTTTTATTTTTCGTTCAATTCATGTCGATCGAATCGACACCGATTTTTTAATAATTTGTGACCGAATCGGTTTTAATCGATTCACGTCGATCGTTTCACGTTTTTATTTTTCGATTGGTTCATGTCGATCGAATCCATACCCTCCGAATCGATCTGATCATGTCCTATAGGCGCATGTCTGTCTATAGCTAAGCGATATCTGCATGAATATCACTCTACACGTACACATATTTTGATCTTTTATTGAGAAATTTATCTTTTAGAAATACGATATTTTGCAAAATGGTCCCTAGTTAATTTCACTATGCTTTTTGGATTTTTTTTCAGTTTTGTTGGCCTGGGGTGTCAAAGAATCTACATTCATTAACAACATCTTCACGACCGTAAACTTGGTAACGGTTGTCATCGTAATTTTCGCCGGGATTTATGTTTGTAAGCGAATTTTTACCTGTTTAATGTTTCATTGAAAGAGCGCAAAAAACCAGAAGTTTCTAAAATCACCCCAACTTTATACTTTAAAGTCTCAACAGAATATATAACTTTTATAAGCCTAGAAACGTAACTGTCACACTCAGTAGATGGGTGTTCTAATAAATGTGTCCCCGCACCTGGTTTCATTTCGGTGAACGTTGTTTACATACAGAAAAGACTTTGCTGATTGGCAACAATGTTTTTCCTCCATTTAAATCCATTAAAAATATCGATTGCAGGTGAGGCGTTCAGCCTTTCCTGGAATCGATTGTTTTACACACGTTTAAATGGAGAGCACGGTGTTGCCAATTTTCAAAAATCGCCACTGTTCACGAATGAATTTGTAAAATTCTCTTGCGAGAACGGGGAGTAAATTCTCACAATAATTAATTTTCAACATTTCGGAGAGAGCTCGTGCAAACGGCGGTGCGTAATTCACCTTGTGACGTTTATACGTGGCGGAGAAATCAGATGAATTTTGTGTGCTTCAAACTTCTGACTGAGCGTCTGATTTATTCAGACTTTGCTATGATTACTGTTGGCAGCCAAAATGAGCAACTGGTTCATTGACCCGGCGATGATCCCTCCGGAGCATAAGGCAGCGGCCGGGAAAGGAGGTTTCATGCCTTACGGCTGGTCGGGAGTCTTGGCTGGGGCCGCTACCTGCTTCTATTCTTTTGGCGGATTCGACTCCATTTGCACAACGGGTAATTTTTAACTATTTTTCAGAATAAGTCTCTGTATTTGTGTTCTGCGTGCTGTTTTCAGACATTGGCGGATCCAGCAATTTGGCAACATTGTTTTCCTCCATTTAAACCTAAGGAAACGTATCGATTCTTGGAGGGACAGGTGCTCCGACAAGAATCGATTATTTAACATAGGTTCGGATGGAGGGAATACAGTATTGCCAAATTGCTGGATCCGCCTCTGTTTTCAGACTTAAATGTTATTGGAAATGGCTACCGCCTTTCATAACCATCGGGGTAGTAAAATATGTAATGATATTTAAAATGTGAAATTTCTCATGAAATATGACATTTTGGATTAAGAAATATTTAAATGATGGCCAAAGTGGGAATCACGTACCTCCGTTTCAGACTTAGTCCCATTTTCTCAGCCACTTGTCATTTTTTTCGAATTTTGAGATCACAATTCTGTTTTTGTTCACAACTTCGACAAACAAATTCAACTTAATAAAGGCGTAGTTTTTTTAGAGGAAAAATACTGATATCGAAACTACACTCGAATGCGATATTAGCCCTTTACAAAAACCACGCCTCTATCACGTTGAATTTTTTTGTCAAAATTGGTATGTGAATTCTGTAGTATCTTGACAACAGTATTGCGATCTCAAAATTCAAGAAAAATGACTAGTAGCTGAAAAAATGTTACCAATCGATGCGATACATCGCATGTCGTTTCGACACAAAATATGGCGTCCATCGAATCACCTTAACATGGGTTTGGAGACATAGGCGGTTCTAGACCTTCGTGCTTAGGGGTGCCCAGAGGTGGAAAATTCTCCGACATTTCTCAGGGGAGGCCTAAGTTTCGGCCCTCAAGTGTTATCTCTTTCCTACCCTCCTTTCTCTTTTTCTCTCCTTCCTTTCTACTTAAATACCTATAAATTCAATGTGGAAAATTTTTAGCAAAACTTTCCACCAAAACTACAATCTTACCATAAAAAACAGTAGAATCTTTGTAAAACACGGCTATCAATATTCATTCTGTTTAAAACATTTTCAATTAATTGCTGGGATTTTTTCTCCATGTGAGCGAATACAGAATCTTTAAAAGCAGTAATTTCACGGTTCCGATAATCGTACTTAATTTTTGCTTGGGGGTGCCCGGCACCCACTGGCTCCCCCGTAGAACCGCCTATGTTTGGAGAAATGATCTGGCACCTGACGGGCATCATGGCTAAAGACACTTTTGTACAGTATTGTTCATCTGTTACCCGTCGTGTGACGAGCAATTCGTCCGTTTTTACACATGTCTGTAATCTGAAATAACCTCACGTGCCTCGTCAATCATGGCAATTAACTTGCATTGAATCAGGGTAAACACAATCATCTTTACTGCGGTGAATGAACTAGGTAGTAAGTGATCGATTGTCATCAATAATTGCTGTAATGACGCAGTTTGTGTTCTGGTGGAGACTTCCGTCTTATTACTTCGTGTATTTTGAGATGCATTGTGAACTGACGCATGGAGTCATTCCGCCGATGTTTGAAAATGAAGCAGCTACAGTTTTTCACTCCTTCATCAAAAAGTTGAGGATCGGAGTCATAGTGTGGAATAGTGGCGGGGAGTGAATGATCGATTTATCGATGTTTCCCCAAGCTGTGGCGAAGTAACCTCACACAAAAAAATTAGGATATAAGTTTAGAAAGCTGAAAAGGAGAAAATTCCTAACAATTTCACTTTTCATTTCCATTTGGTACTCAAGAGAATAAAAAATCTATCACAAAGGACCCGTTCCCTCAGATTTTCAAACTGTCTTTTGAGACTATTTTTACATGTTGTTATAGCAATCGATACCTATACAATCTCACCTGTTTGATGCATCGAATACGATCTATGGACTCTTAACTTTATAAGATTAATGAACTCTTAATTCATCATTCTTTTTTACCATTATGCTCAGGCGAGGAGGCCAAAAATCCACAAAGAACCATCCCTTTGGCTATTGTTATGACACTTGCGATTGTGTTTGTCGCCTACTTTGGTGTATCCTCCGTTATCACGATGGCGTGGCCTTATTATGACCAGGTGAGTAAATAATGGCAAGCTTCAATACTGAGCCTTTGAAAAGTAGCATGTTTAAATTGTTAAAAAGCACTCTGCTAGTAGGTAAGGAAAAATTTTGGTCGTTCAATTCATGAAAATGGAGAATCAGGAAATCCTAAAAAAAATCTTACTTCGAAATCTCTAGGAACAGAGTCTCTGTAAAACTAAGGATCTGATATTTACCCAAGTAGCAGTGATCGCGATAAGTTTTGATTGGAGAACGTATCGCAATTTTATCAATGTCAATTTATTGCGGTATTATCGAATTGAAAATTGCGATTTCATCGCATAAATTTGCAGTGAAATCGCGATTCTATCGAGGGTGATATTGAAGTAAGATTTTGATCTTATCAAATGCGATTTTATAGAGATAAAATTGAGACAAGATCGAGGAAAATCGCTCAGATGCTGATGATCCTAGTGATTAAACAGCCAAGAAATTGTGAAAATATCGCGATTTTTTCGTTGAAAAATGCTACTTGAGTAAGTTATTTTCCCTGAGTAGAGTTTGAAAGGCATACCAAAAAAGTTCCTTTGCAGTAATGCTAATTTTTTTAATTTTTTGGCCTCATAATTTCCCAGAATTTCATGGTCTCCGAGAATTGCTGGCCTCTCTTGGATGGTTAAAGGGGGACGCACCTTAAATTCGAGTTTTCCGTCAAAATTTTGAAATTCCAAATCCCTCCCTTTCTCCCGAAAACCTCCGAAAACCCGAATTTTAGGAGCAACCTCCATCCCCTGTCCTAAACTTCCCGAGAGAAGGCAGAGAAGCTCGGAGACTTAGCAGCTATCATTAAAAAGATTTATATTCAGAGTATATTGATTACATTTTTTATTTATTTTTTACAGCATATTGACGCTCCATTCCCATATGTATTTGATAAGACAGGATTGCACGCCATAAAGTGGATTGTAACAGTCGGCGCTTTGTTTGCTCTGTGTACCAGGTAATTTGCAACATTTGCTATCCATGAGTAAAGTGTTACACTACCTACTCCTTCATTTTGAAGTCCACGCAATCTGCGAGTCACCGGGGGAAAAAAACGTAGTCGTATTTACGCTAAAAAAAACTGTGTAGAAATGAATTAAATCAAATGGAACCATGTATGCGTAGGATTTTATTCCTATCGATCTAATTCATTCGTACATAGTGTCTTTCCGCATAAATTCGTCCAATTGTAAAACAATTTTTGCTCAGAATGAGATGACTGTCACAAAGTATTTTATTTCATTCCGTGAAAAATATTTTGCGAGTGTGCATCGGTCAAACTAGATTGAGTATGCATGCACCCTAATTTCTAATAACTCAGATACATGCTCTTCCATCTCTCTAAGATACAAAAAATAATTCAGAATAGTAGGCGATATGGTAACGTCGGAAACCAAGCATTACAATAAATGGATTACATTTTGCAACAAAGAACCACCATCTCTGGCTCTTCCATAAAAGCACCTTTTTTCATAGTGAAACCAATGACATATATGTTGTTTCTAAAATGACCCAGAAATAGTGGATCCTTATTGCAAAATGTAGGTAATCCAAATATCTCTTCATGATGATGTTACTCAAATTATAAGTCTAGTAATGCTCTAACCCTTGCCGTCCTTAAAGATTCACTTAGAGCCGTCCCGAAAAGAAGTTTTCCTTCTTAATCGTCTGAATTCTCATACCTCTTATGGCAATTTTACAGTATGCTGGGAGTTGCTTTTCCTCTGCCCAGAATCCTATACGCCATGTCATCAGATGGTTTAATTTACAAGTTCTTTTCCCGTATAAATGCATACACACAGACTCCTGTGTTAGCAACTTTAATATCTGGTCTTTTAGCTGGTAAGTCATTGAAAATGTGTATACTTCAAAATGTATCATTTTTATTTTATTTTTCAATCAATTCTTTATCAAATTGCGAATATCAATTTTAAAGAAAAAGAAAAAAGAAAAAAGAATAAAAAGAATCATAAAATCAAAGAATCTCATGAGTCTAGGTGATCTTGATGAAAAGCAATAGGGTACCTCGTCAATTTGTCCCACACAGTGTCCAATTAATAAAAAAAAATTACCAAATATGCAGAGAAAAAGTACAACGGTGATATTTGTAATCAAGCGGAATTTCTTGTGATCGCATGCCACCAGTTTCATTCCAGGGCAAAATGGATTCACTCAATTTAAAATCATGCGCAGTCCAAGAAATACATCATGCAGAATTTTAACTCACAGCGTGTGCTTTTTCGATATAAAGGAGCTATTTAATCAAAGGGAATCAACTTATTGACTTAATTTAAAAATGAAATAACTGCTCTTTATTTCTTTAAGTTCTTCATGTCCATGTAGTCGGTACTACTTTCCAGATAAAACTCGTATAGTTAATCCAAGTAGGTGCTAAGTAATTGCAATGTACATGCGATTTTACTGGATGTCAAAATATTTTATTGCCGACACGACTAAAAAAGTTTGTATATTCAGAGCATTTGCCTCCTTCAAATTTTGACAATTTTCTTCATTCCTGCAGGTATTATGGCAGCAATGTTCGACCTGACACAGCTAATCGATATGATGTCAATAGGTACTCTGATGGCTTATTCAATTGTTGCTCTGTGTGTGATTTTACTAAGGTTTGTAAAAACGAATTTACTAAGTAGACAAAAGGTGTAAATCGATGAAATTCTTGAGATATATTTCAAAGCATTAAATGTATACGTGAAGACGCACGTAGAAATTAATACTTCATTATCAGTACAAAGATCCTTGCTATAATTTTGATTTATTATTTTATTATAATAATAATAATTACAAAATTATGCACCATTTTCATATTTTATTTTTTTAATACATGCTTTTAAAAAGCTACACACAATTCCTCTGAAAAGTTTCTGCGAAGTTACATAAATGATCTTAAATAAAAGTATCGAAAATTTCGATGCGATATTTTCGTTTGCTCTATTTTCTTTCTATACCTATAGCCAAAAAAAAAAAAAAAAATTAAATACCATCCGAATTTCTGGATCGTTACAATGAGGATACATATTTTCCCTTTAATTATGGTAAAGACTGGAGCAGAAAGTCAAGAATGATGGCACACAGTCATACAGCATTCCTACTGCCCTGCGCCCCTGCATGCACAAAAATGCGAAATCGCGTTTCTCGCCAACTGACCGACTGCACTGCGTTTGGTGCAATGCGAGAAGTATCCACGCAGTCTTGTAAGCGCTGATGCGGGCTGTGCGCCGAGTCGGCGCCGCCGACCGCACTGTTTGGAGCAATGCGTGAAGTATTCCCATAGTCTTACAGGCGCCAATATACGCCGGTCGCACTGTGTTTGGCGCGATTATTCGAATTCGGGTTAGAATATTCGCGGCATCGAATAATAGAGCCTCAAAGTATATGTGGTGTTTCGACGCCGTATGAGCATACCAATGTTGCAATGTCCCTCTCGAATAAATATTTTTTCCGAGAAAAAAGGAAAGTTATTTAGACTCACGACCATTATTCAATCTTTACACTTCATTTATTATCAGAAGGTAAGACATCGATGGCTTGTCAACAAACCAACCTAAACTAACGTTAACATAAATATTTCGCGTTTATTATAGCGTTTATTTTCCAACTGTTATCTATTTAGTCAAACTTCCACCTTAAATTAACTTCATTTTCAATTCACGAATTCCTGGAGTAGATGTTAAGGTTTCTATTCGCGCAATCCTCATACATTTTCTGAAACCTTTCGCGCAATCCTGGATTATTGATCTAATAGATGTTAGCGCTTTGATAAGGTGATCAATTGCTCATTAATTTTATGCTAATCGCTAATGTTTGTTAGAATTAGGCACGTATAAAAACTAACATTTCGCTTGAAACTAAATCGATAAAGATAAGATAGAATCACCCATTTTAAGGAGAATCAAACTCAAGGAAGTATGAATAACCCTAAATACATACATACATACTTAAAAGCCACTTTCGCAGCGCTCTCTGACACTGTACAACAATTAGCCGCCAAAATTACCTATCCCTTTCAAGAGGTTGGCACTCCCTAATTTCCTCTAAAACTTCCTGTTGCCACCCTTTTTCAGGACGTCACCTTTGCCTCCTTCTGGACGGAACCCAATCAAGCTCCTTATTCGGCAGCCTTTCTTTATTCGTCATCCTGTTGACATGACCATACCAGACAAACTGTTTGTTCATGGTGTCGAATACGAGGTCATTTTGACTTCCGTGATTTGGCGCACTCTATTATTATGATGAATCTACCCTACGCAAGAGTGTTTATTGGAAGTTTCATTTTTACAGTGCGCACGGTTTGATTTACAGAGCCTTATCATGGCTTGGTTTGACGGACCCTTAGAAGCGTTATACTTATGTACTCGTAGAACAAACCAGCGCAGCGGCGCGGCGTAGCGTGTTTTCTGATTCATCAATTGATCTACCGCTTAAACCCATGGGAAAGGGTCGATAAACAGGGTTTTCGCAAGGAAACACCTTAATAATCGATTCTTTACCACAGCTGTAAATGGGAAAATATTGATAATCAAAATATCGCCTCGCCACTGGAATCGAACACGAAAACACACTGCGGCTTCAAACGTAAAGAATCATACAGCCCCACAAGCAGTTATAAGTGATTAAAAAGTCCTTAAAAGGAAATAATCATTTCTTATGATTAAAAAAGTCTAATTTTAGAAGAGGGACTTAATATTTTTTGTCTATTGGCAATATTATAAAAAATAACCTGAATTAATTCGTCTTTGTACTGCGGCTTCAAATTTTTCAGGATGTTTCAAAAACTAAAAACTAAAATGAGAATTGTTTCTGGTATTTGTTTCATTAGGTACAAAGAGGACGAATCTAGTGTGGATGACGTCAGTAAGAAGCAAAACGATTTTGGATCAAATAAAACAGAGCAGTACACTTTCAGCTCTGTCTTAAGTATATTAAGCACGGAAAAAGAAAGCTCACCCACCGCAAGAACAGTTTTCATTGCGAGGATAAGCACAACTATATTCTGTAAGTTGGCTTAGTACTAAAATATTTAGGTAATAGCAGTGAAGCAAGAGAGAAGTGATCGAGCGTAGGATACATGGATAAAATTTTGCGACAAGGAACCACTATCTCTGGCTCTCCTGCAAAAACACTTTTCTGCATAGGGAAACCGATGCACCCGACGCAGGAAAACCTGCATATATGTTGTTTCTATAATGAGCCAGAAATTGTGGTTTCTTACTGCAAAATGTGGTCCATTGTGATATCGATAATTAATGCCTTGGTGCAACTATTCGTGCTCCATGGACATCCGTGTTGCACTGTTGCATATACTAAAAATTGAAGGCGCCCCTGTCATTCCAGCGCATAAATCAATGCTCGTTGCGACACGCTGTCACGACTCTGTGTGCCGCTATAGTGTAATATCTTAGAGGTCGCAATAAATCTGAATAGGTACTAGTTAGTTAGGCTCATCTTAGAAGTGACATGTTCGTATTTGCTATTGATTTTCTCAAGCAAATAGGATATTTTATATGTGCGCACAAAAATTTGATTCTTTTTGAGTATCATTTTCCAAATGCATGTATATTTTGCAGTTATGGAAGATAATACACAAAGGTAGCCCGAAAACACTAGAAATAACACAAAACAATGGGTAAACAAAGCAAAAAAAAATCTCAGGTCCCAGGTTTTTTTATGTCTCTGTTTTTAGCCTCGTTTACCCATTGTTTTGTGCTTTTTCTAGTTTGCAGTCAATATACTATACTCGGCCGTGGTGTCGTTTTATAGTTCGTTAGTTAGCTAGTTAGTTAGTTACTAGTTAGTTAGTTAGTTAGTTAGTTAGTTAGTTAGTTAGTTAGTTAGTAAGTTACGACGATCAGCAACTAAAAAACGATCGTATCAACGACGATCATAAAAAAATTGAATTAATGTTAACTCTGAGGGTATAAGTTGAGCTTTTAAGGTGAACTTGCTTGCAAAATCTACTCTGGAACAATTCTTCATTATAAGTGCCTATAACTTACTCCTCTCTGTTTTCCAAAGTCGTCAATTTTGCAAAAGTGATTGAAGATATTTATTAACAGAGACATTTTTTTCACAAAACCAAACTATCAGTCGAATAAATGATTTTCTTTCCATTAGGGATGTTTCCCTGAAGTGTTTCGCTTTAGTTTCCCGCTTTCAAATTTGAGGGTTGCTAATCTTTCATCTGGGCATCGTTAAAACCTTCCGCGAACCTAGGGAGGGTTTTGTATCTTGATACACTTTTATAAAATTTTCCTCAGTAATCTAAACAAAATTCGTTATCATTTGTATATGATTACAGGTGCTGTCACAATAATTCAGACGCTAATCCTTGTTCTCAGCGAATCAATATTTTCGGCTGAATCATTTTGGAGTGTCTTGAGCACTCTCGTCGTTTTAGCTAATTTTGTAATTTTAGGAGCTACCATGTATGTCATTTCGTTGCAACCACAATCGGATACAACCTACCTCAAATTCAGGGTAAGCAGTCGTCCCGATATTAATTCCTCCACGCAATAACTCGAGAAAATAGCATGCAATCCTCAGAATTTTGATTATTTTCTTTAAAAAACTGAAACATGAGAGAAAATTAGGCAAAGTCTGCTGTGGTGAGGTTGATTCTAGTTAAATCCGTCTAACTCTTCCGGTAGGCTAATTATTGAAATTGATAGACAAAGGAATATACAAAGAAGACAAATAGAAAATTGTACGATTTCATTGGTTGAAACGGATGGTTGCTATAGTCTAAGAAAGAAAATGACGGACTAACTATAGTCTTTCGTGGGTTGCCGATAGTTATTATATTATTGACCTCCTTTGGACGTCGCGACAACCCGCCTCCACTAATAGGATCGCTCTGTTTTCTCTTAGTTTCCTATGTCTATAGCTTTGTCCACCGATTTCAATAATCAGCCGAGTATATGCCCAAGCATTGATGCGTACACAGATCGATCTCATTTTTCCCTACGACATTTTTTAGGAATATTTTCCTTCATGAAGATAATTGTCAATCTTCGTAAAGAGGTAGTCCCAAAGGGTAGGGTTGTCATCCGGAATGCGTCACATATCGACCGCTAGCCATATGAGCACCTGCATACATTCTCATGAAAAAATATTTCTCCATGAGGGACTAAAATAAGACTCCTTTGTTTTCTTAAAATCTAGGTTCCTGGAGTGCCTGTGGTGCCATGCTGCTGTATATTTATGAATACATATCTTATGGCCCAACTCGATTTTCACACGTGGGTCCGATTTGCCGTGTGGTTGGCTGTTGGTAAGAGCTTGTTTCACTTAACAGTAAATTAAAATTTAGGAACCATGGTTGATACAGGGCCTGTTATAGTAGAATTAACGAGGAATATATATGAGCTCGCAAAGGGTTTGGAAATTAGCCTTTTTACCCGCTGTGTAATTTTTTTTTTTTTTTTTAATTTTATAACTTCTAACGGGCTGCGGAGCATCAATCATATCTCATGTTTTACTTTATGTTGAAACTTTTTTCCAGAATCCCCCATAAAATAACCATAAAATACAACTCTCTATTGGTAACAATGTTAAAGAGATAAATGGTTTTCAACGTGTTTTATACAGTTGTTTTCAATTCGCCTTCAGCTTCGTCTGCAGCAATTGTTGTTATAAATATGTTGTGCGTGCCGATCTCAGCACATTACATACTTGACTCTTTGAAGGCGTTTAATGTGCGTAAGTAGAGCACCCTGTTGGGGAACAACAGAAGTGAGATTGCACGAATCGATTAATCCCTACTTCGTTTGTTCTCCGACAGATGGCGCTACTTGTGCACAAAAAACGCCTTCAGAGAGTCGAGTATGTAATGACTTGTAATCAGCACGCACAACATATTCGTAACAACAATTGCTGCAGACGCATCTGAAGGCGAATTACTTTCGTACAAAAAACGCCTTCAGAGAGTCGAGTATGTAATGACCTATAATCAGCACGCACAACATATTCGTAACAACAATTGCTGCAGACGGAGTAGAAGGCGAATGGTTCCGTTAAAGAAAAGAGTATGATGGGAAGTCTGCATGTAACGAAAGGGTATGTCTTCGATCAAAATGAATCGAACGAAGAATAAAACGTGAACCGATCAACACAGATTCCAAGGACAAATGGACGTATTTCTGTCAAACGGAACTAAGAGCCAATTTGAGTTCCTTTTGAGGAATTTAGAATGCCGGATAGCGCGTTCTGTCAAACGGAACTAGGCGCCATGGAAAAGCATTGCGAGCACAGGACGGAATGATCCCGAAGCCCGGTTCCGCCGCTAATCCAAGACCCCTCTACCTTCCTCCCCCTATGGCGCTTAGTTCCGTTTGACAGAAATACGTCCAAATAGTTAAAAAAAAAGCTGATCAAAATCAGTAGAAAACTTGCATTTATTATGAAAATTTCAAAGTGCAGCATCCCGAAATTAGGATCAACCAAGATTTTGATTTTCCACGGTTTTAAGTCCACACTTACCATAGACTCACCCCGTGCAAACCGTTTTTAGGTACATTTTTTGTCGCATTTTTTTTGCTTCAAGGCCGCTGTGATTGTCTGCGATACATCGTTTGTATACAGTAACAAACGGCATTCGTGCAAATTACAACAATTATTATTCTTTCCCTTTTAATTATTCCATCTCTTTTTAGGTTTTGTCATCTACTTCACCTACGGAATCCAGCACAGCGTGCAAGGTATCCTCGATCGTCAACAGGCGAAACAGGAACTGAAGTCGCAGCCACCCCCTCCCGCCCAGATGTACAAATGATGCCGCGTTGACTGTGATGGACTTGCTGCATCTTTTTTAAATCCACGATCCGGATTATTTGTGATATTGCAAACGAGCTTTCAATTAGCTTTATATACTTGTATACATGCTTATTATAGAACCGTGCTTGTTTATAAAAGGAAAAGACAGTTCACGCGCAGCGGCGTGGCGTGCTTTGCGATGAATCGATTGATCTGCCATTTAAACCTATGGAACAGGATCGATAAATAGAGTGTCCGCAACGAACACCATGATGATCGATTCTTTACCATAGTTTCAAATGGGGAAATATCGATTATCGATCATTTACGCCTCGCCACCGTTCACAAGGAAAACGCTCGAGCAATAAATGAAACATTGAATGTGAGACTTGCATTCGGCCTGGGCACCTAGCGCCCCCGGCATTCTTGAAATTTCGGTTAATCATGATTTTTGATTCCTTTGCTCTCATTTTTTGGTGCTACATTAGATGTAATATTACAACAATGTTTAAAAGGTTTCTGCCGCGACTCCAATCTAAAATGTAACCATGGGGTCTACTTAAAAATTGCGAAAAAGGCGATTTTTAGTTTAGAATTAATACTGGACCCCGTTTAGCAAAAAGGAAGGAAGAAACATCAGCTATGGCCAAAAACGGAGAAATTCAATTTTTTACAAGGACACGTTTGTGCAGATTTTTTTAAAATTATTTAGGAATTTGCTTCGTGTCAAACAAAAAATTCACTGAATTTTGCAAAAAAAAAAAAAAAAAAAAAAAAAAAAAAAAAAAATCTGCACAACCGTTTTCATGAAAAAAATTAAAGTACCCAATTGCATCGGACAATCGCTGATATGATAGCTAATAGCTTGGTTCCTTTCTACTTGACGTGGTCCAATTCGACTTGGAAATTTGCTGAAAAATACCTAATAAGTAACATTTTATTAATGAAAACTTTAATAATTTGATTTCAACAACACTCAATTTTGCACCAAGTGTAAAACTTTTTCTATCGGATACTTTCTAAAGAGTATAAGACTAACTGATATCTTTGACTTTTTATTGATTTTGTGTGCTCCGGCGATATGGGGGGGGGAGGGAAACTGTCCTCTAACTCGGTGGTTTTTTCCGTTTTTTAAAAAAAAGAACTAGGGATAGATCTAAAGATAGTTATCGATTATCACAAGAATTCAATTTTACTGTCGTTTTAATTTGTATCGATTAAACTGATACCGACTAAATAGATTATCGGATAAGTTTCAAAAAATAGCATAATTTCTTTTAAAACAAGCGAGAGAAATAAACCGATATCAATCTCGAATTCGAAAACTGTGAGTAATTTCAAATCAGTATGCTCCAATTAAGTTGGAAATACCAAATGCCTTAATTATGCTCAGTTGAAAAACACCTCTGAATTTCTCCCCTGTCCATATTTGAGAACTCAATAAAATGAGAACAATATCTGCCTGTGATTATAAACAATGAAAAATTATTTTAATTCTGCTGTTAAAATGTTTCTGTATTGTTAAGAAAAACAAATTGAGCTTCATCTGGAGCTTTTTTAAAAATTACTTAAAATACGATTAAAAAATTAAAGTTATATTTCTTTCCATTCTTTCATTTTTCTGTTTCCTGTCTCCGTCGCTTCGTCAGCAAATTAATCTCTAGATAATGTTCCTTCCATCCAAAATGCATCAAAGATGGGTTACATTCTGGGCCGGATTAGCTCTAGTGGTAGGCCCAGCCTCCGGCTCTACGGGTTCCTTGAAACGCCCCCCCCCCCCCCCCATTATTATTTTAATTTTTTTCCTTCACGAGTGGTCCTATCACATCTGTTGGGAGCCTCCGGAGGCTTAGAGATTTTGGAGGATTTTAGTGGGCCTGAAACTAGTGTTTCGGAAATCATGGGGCCGTAAAGTTTTTGCCTGTAATAATAGAGTCTTGGAGAATCTGATTGCGAGTCTGAAATTTTTCCGGACTTCAGGAATTTTGATTTTTTCGGCTTTTCATGAGAACTCTTTTCACAGAGGCCCCAAGGCTCCTGAGACAGGATTTTCTTTATCTCCTGGGCCCAAAGTGAGAGCATGGGACCCTTTCTTTCCTTGGAAACGTAAACCGCCTTCAATTTACGAAGTATACAACCCGCAACGTGCGATCTCTTTTACCCGAGAGCTAATCTGACCCTGATTACATTAAAACACATGATCGACATGTTGACACACGCTTTGCATGGAGGCAATAATAACAATGGAAAATATAAATTAGACAATTTATTCACAATTGGTAACTAAAATTTACAAAAGGAATAGCGTTACAAAAAATAAACCTAATGTTGAACACAGAAAAGCAATGAAACGATGGATGAACGCTACAAGTACGATGTGAAAAGCATGTTAAATTAAATCTAATATAGATTCACAGGTTTGGTTCGAATTTTGATCATTTCTGTGTGGTTCACAAGAGTATAGAGGGATTGTGAGAATGGCAATCGCAAGAACGAAAAAAGAAAAAAAAATCGCCCCTTGAGTACCCTGCTTCAATATTTAATGAGGGGTTTCGAATGTGAGACTTATCAAAGGATGTAGAGTAAATCTGCTGCATAATGTATGTGGATAATTTAGTGAGTTTGTAGATGTAGAGGCTAGGAACAAAAAACTTTGTCTACATTCTCTGGTTCGGATCTTTGTAGGTTTTCTATTTATTGGAATAGTCTACAAAGCATAGACGTAATTCCATAGGAGATCTCAAAGTACTTTCTTAAAATAACCATTCATAAGGGGAGGGAAGAAGGAGGAAAGAGAGCGATTGAACATTGATGATAGTGACTAGTAAAGACTGCAAGCGTCAGTTTAAAAACAATTTCGGGGAGGAAATACTTATTTTCACATGTGAAATGACCAAACATATCAGTTTTACCCTCATGATGATTTTTAGGAAGAATGCGAAAAATGGCAGTAAATAGCAACTTGTAGCGCAGAGACCTGGAGAAGAATTGTTCATATCGTCAAAACTGTTAGTTTTACCAACTGTTGTAGTCTCCGTAACTTCCGTAACCGCCATTGCTTCCATAGCCACCATAGCCACCGTATCCTCCACGATATCCATTGTAACCTCCGTATCCACCGTATCCACCTCCGTAGCCGGTGCCGAGATACTCGCTTCCGTATCCGCCGTAGTTGTTGTAGCCTCCGTAGCCTCCATAGCCTCCGTAACCACCGTACCTGTTGTAACTGGGGTTCCACCTGTTGTAGTAGCTGCTACCGCCGTAACTGCCGTAGCCTGGGTAACCTCTGTATCCACCGTAGCTACCACCGTAGCCTCCGTAACCGCCTCCGTAACCACCTCCGTAACCGCCCCCGTATCCTGTACCGTAACCGGTGCCGTAACCACCGTATCCGCCGTATTTGCCGTATCCACCGTAGCCGCTACCGTAATTATCTCCATAGCCAAAGACTGTAACAGATAGGTTAATAAAATATATAGATGCAAAACGTTAAAAAATAAAACGATATTAAAGTATTATTACTAAATTTTAGCTCTCTACCACCTCCTTTTAGCTCACAGTGATTTTTTTCCGTAGTGATGCTACACTCTCGTATCTGTCACAAGGATATACAGTCACAATATACAGGGTTATTCAAAAGTCACGCATCACTGACCATTAGGGGGGTGGCTATTTGAAATTTTTGAGTTGCACCCCGCCCCCCTCCCCCTGAGGGGGTCAAAAACTGGAAAGTACCTGAAAAGTTTCCCTCTCAATGTAAGGAAAAACGTCACAAACTGCAAATCGATGTCTTAATTAGAACTAAAATTATAGCCAGTGATGCGTGACTTTTGAATAACCCTGTATCCGTCAGGATCTTGAATTATAGCCCAGTATGTTTCAGTATGTACTCTTTACGCTGACTAGAAACAGATTCTGAAGACGGGAGCGAAATTTAAGGCAAGCGTAGTCGAATCGGTTTCTGTTAGAGAGGCGTAATTCCAAGAACTCATGAGCCCTGGCTTTCGTTGATCACGTAGGACGCTAGGGCCCATGAGTGTTTTGGCTTACGCCCGTCTAACAGAAACCGATTCAACTATGATTGCGAGACGAAAACAACCCAACTCAACCAGAAGGGAATTTTTGTTTATTTTCATATTTTTTGCAGAAAAATACTTCCTAGAGGTAGCATGCTGATTATCGCTATGAAATCGCGGGCTAAAAAATCGGGAAAAGTGTGTTACGTACTTCTTGAACGCACTGGAAAAAAAAACACATCGGATCTAGAGTCCAGACTGTTAAAAACATCGACAAGAAAAAATACTCTCGATTTTTTGCTTAAATCAAGAGCTAAGCCTCTTACTTTGAGCGGATTTCCTTTTGATTTAAGCAAAAATTTGATTGAATCATGAGTATTTTTTCTTGTCAATGTTTTCAAGAGTCTGGGCTCTAGATCCAGTATGTTTTTTCTTCCAGTATGGCCCCTTAGTCGGTATTGTTGGTTAGCCCTCGTTATCTATCGCTTTGTCTATCAATATCAAGAATCAGCCGGCAGTGCTGGACGCCGAAATGAACTCGCGTTTTCCGAATCCCGAGTGATTTGAATATGCGCGAGGTCCGGTGCGGAGATTTTCTCACGAGATAAGGAAATCCTCGAGTCTTGGGACGAGCCGCGCCGGCGCCTTTTGTCGCGGGAGGAAAACAAATTAAGGGGGCCTTGATCGGGCGCGTCGCGGCGGCCCCGAAACGGGGCGCCTCCAGGGTCTCCGCCATTCCGTAAACGACCGCCAGCGCCGTGCGTGCGTCCACGTGCGAACCCCAGGAAACAATGAAAGCTCCGCGTTACGCCTCGGCAGATTTCCAATATTTCCCCGACCCAAAACACCCGAAATCCGCCCAGTCTAGACTGCCCAAGTGTCCGTGCCCGCTGACCGCTCTGTCGCGCTAAAGAAGAACGCCGTATCAACATTCTAGAGTTGCCGAATTTCCCCAGATAAAATGCTTATTTTTTAAGAAAGTTCACTGGAAAAAAAACACATTGGATCTAGATTCCAGAATCTTGAAAACATTGACAAGAAAGATTACTCTTGATTCAATTGGATTTTTGCTTAGATCAAAAAGAAATCAGCTTAAATTAAGAGGCTTGGTTCTTGATTTAAGCTAGATTCTGATTGAATCAAGAGTACTTTTTCTTTTCGATGTTTTTAAGAGTCTGGACTCTAGATACAATGTGTTTTTTTTCCAAGTGTTATAAATATTTTTCATTTAAATTTTCAGAATCTTTAGGTAAAACTGCGAGCTAAGTTATCTGAAAAATTGGGAGGAAAATATTCATAAATTTACCAGGAAATGTGCGTTCTATCATAGGAAATTTGGCAACACATGAAGGTTCATACGGCGTTCTTCCTTAGCACGGCAGCGACTGCCACCCGCATCAGCAAGCGAGTCTAGTCTCTAGGAAGCCCTTCGTATGCGGCTTTGTCGCATGACGGAATGTCTCGGCCGAGACGCTTTTTGAGTCTCTGCCAAATGGATTCGGAAAAGAGGGCCTTACACGGAGAGGAAAAATTATCGAATTTTAGCTCGTTTAAAGGCGTTCATACGGCTGCGGGCTTATCGTTGAGGATGATAGACAAAACTATAGACAAAGAAAACAAAAGGGATATCGTCACTTCCCGTCCAAAGTATCACAAGCGCCATGCGACGTTTCAAAATTTTCGCCGCCATTTTATTTTTTTATGGAGAAATTGTTGGTTGAATCTGTTTGAAAATTTCACTGAATCTCATCGGCAGCACGAAGGAAATTCAGTGAAATTTTCGGACAGCTTTTTTGAACAAATTCTCCGTAAAAAATTGAAATGGCTGCGGAAATTTTGAAATGTCACATGGCGCTTGTTACACTTTGGCCGGAAAGTGACGATATGGAGAAATCCTATTGGTGGAAGCGGCTGGTTCCAATGGACAAAGGAGGAAGGGAATAGGCTAACTAACGGCAACTCACGGGAGACCCTATAGTTCTTCCATCATTTTCTCCCTTTGTCCATCGAAACCACCCATTGCAACCAATGTGATCGCTCCATACTCCCTATGTCTTCTTCATCCATCGCTTTGTCTATACATTTCAACAATCAGCCCGCTGGTTAAACCACTTGACGAGCTCCGTTACGAGCATGTATTTGTTTCCCAAAATCGCGTAACTGCTTCTCCAAATTGGCGCACGCGCGGCTAGTGCTGATTACACTGATATAATTAAGCAGATGAATTGTTTTTTTTAGATTTTTCTTTTATTTCATGCTAAAGTAACCAACAAGAGGTCCACAAAGAGGACCTTAGAGGGCGCGAAGCGGCTCTGAGAAGTCGGCCGCGTAGCAGTCAGGGGGCGTAGCCCCCTGGTTTTCAAATAATAAGGTATCCATGCGTCAAGCAACTCGCATCTCTCGGTACACCTACTTTTCTATACAGGCGTTAAAGTCTCTGAAGTGATTCCGGCAATTTGCCATCTTGGTGATCCCCTCGTGTGGTTTAGCAGGTTTTTGCCGGAACGTACTGAACTTAGGGGCGTCTTCCGCGGTGTCTAATGTCGGTTGAATCAGTTCAAAATCAGGGCGGTTACCCTGCTTTTCATTCTCCCGTTGGTTTGTCTTGCATGCAACTCACCATTTTTATCCGAGATCAGTTTTAGGAATCAGTTGGATTGAGTTAAGCAAAAAAGAACCAAGACCCGTTTTGAAGCTCAGCGCTCTCTTCTTGCATGTCACTCAGTGCATATGTGTAATACCTTTGAGTCCATTATTAGAATATTAGATTTAAATCGTGAGTTTTTTTTTCTTGGAAAGAAGAGTGTGATGTATTTGTCGAGCTTAAAATCACCCGTAACTCATTTTCCTTGAAAATCAGACGAAGCTCTGTTCGACTGAATTTACGACAGTTGTGTACATCACGCATCTCTCATAAAGCTTAAAAATGAAAAAAATCAAATTATTTCAAGTTTGAAGGATGGTCGGGTTTTCTTGAATATTTTAATCGATTTGCTTCAGCTCAATGACATCCTCGTAATGGTGTGCATGATGGTCAGCCCAAAAAAAAATCGTTTGGTAGTCTCGGCTAATTAAGTTTACGACTCGAGCATAATTCTACGAGCTTCGATGCCAGATTTTCCTATGGAGCCACATCCTCTCCAGAAATTAGTACCTCATGATTACTCTAAACGACCTGGCAACAACGCAAAATTTGTGTATAATGAACTTGGCGCTTAGTGGGTGCTCCTTTCACAATTTCCGTTTGAGGAAGTCGGAGGGGAAGTGATGACGTCTAGCACGGAATCTCTTCCAGTAAAGAAGTGTCATCCTTGGAAATGACGCAAAATGAAGGTCCATTCAATTATCCTTCTTTGCTTGCCTTATTAAGCCTCATAGCCGGGTTTACCAATCTTTGCTTTGTGAGGAGGAAACACGATGGAAGAGAAAGGGAAACAAATTCATCGAATTCAGCAGGAAAGAGCCATCGGGCGTGCACCGTTGTGAAATTTCATTTTCCTTCTCCATAGAATGGGTCAGTTGCACTGGTCACAGAATCGTATTTAGACGCTCGATTCCTGTGACTAAAAATAATAAGATCTGTCTAAACAGCAGCTTCCTACGATCAATATTAACCGAGGTATCGCGCTTTGAAAAATTCGGTTCATTACACCCTTGGTTTTTTCAACTTTGCTTTCATCCGAGTTACATGTTGAGTAACCAGTGCAAATGTGTATTTGCCTGACTGATGACAGTAAGGTGAAATACAAGGGTGTCACTACCGCGGTGGATGACGTAATAAACCGAATTTTTCAAAGCGCGATATCTCGGTTGATATTGGTCGTAAGAAGCTACTGTGTGGACAGATCTCATTATTTTTAGTAAATCTACAAGAATCAAGCATAAAAACACGATTTAGAGACCAGCGCAACTGACCTATTGACCTATTGACAAACACCTCCACACCATTATACTTGTAACAATGGTATGATTTCGTTATTTCACTCCAAATCTCAAATCCAAGTCTACAAATTTCATCATTACCATTTAATTATGTTGTAATAATTTTATATGTTCCTGAGAAAAGACATGAACGCCTTTGATGATGACAATGGTACTGGTTGTATCATGAAAAGCTCATCCGTTTTGAAATTTGCAGCATCTTTGGTGTATTTCAATAATATGAAAGAAATACATTTTAATTGATTTTTAGAGGGTGCAATGATATATTGGCTAGAGTGCATTCTGCAGAACTAGAACTTTATAGATTTACGGTGTTCCTAAAACTGTGTTTTTATTCGTTTACATTAAATTAAAGAAAAGCAGATCGATAATTGAAATTCACAGGATTATTTTCCTGCATTATTTATGTTTTTCAAAATAAAAATAGATTTTTTTTTAAATGCACAGGGTTCACTCGCAAGTGAAAACAAATTGCAAAATTGTAATAGCATGGGAACAGTATCAGTTCCGTTCGGCAAAATGCAGTTCAGCTATCGTTTGGTACAAGATGCGTATTGAATGAAACTTCTCTATGCATCATTTTCTGCCTAGTATCTAAGATTTAAAGAATAATTTATTTTTTTCAAAAGATGGAAATCTCTTCAGACATCTTAAAGTTCATGATTGAATCATGATTTGGTTACTTACATCGTGCTGAAGCCTCCGGCTGAAGATCGTTTTTGGTTTCTGTTTCGGCCGATTTCTTCTCGATCTTTTCCTCAGCTTCAACTGAGAGAATGCAGAAGGTTGCTGCAAGAGCAGTTAAGTATATCGCCTGAAACACATTTTAATGAAGTCATAAGTTTGGAGGGAATATAGGTTAAAGTTCTATTAGTAAAATGAAAAAAATCAGATCCAAAGGGGCTTGGGACAAATTAAACGAGTCTTTGAAGACACTTTTGCACTGACAAACATCAGGCTCATCATAACAGCAATTATTATGAGTAACGTTCCTCCGACAGTTCCTGGTTGCGCTGAAGACAATACTAGCCACGCCAAAAGAGCGAATCGTCGTTCTTTCAACTAAAAAATAGAGTATAAAAAGAAGTCCACGACGTTGCAAACCAAAATACGCGGTTTCCGAAGGAGACTATTTAAGTGCTTTCAGCTGCGCAACACAAGACCTCAAAGGAAAACTGTTTTCTTGCAACAATGAACCCGATTTTTCTCATCGTGGACGCAATAAGACAAAGCTTCACTTCTCTGGCGTAAGGATGTCACTGCATTCTCACACAAGCCTCGAAAAGCAAGACGTCATATGAACAGTAGGGCTCATCTCTGAAAGTACTTACGCCCTCACGTCAGAGAAGCGACGAAAGCACCTTGCCAGGCTGAGCGGAAATGGACCCACGGAACGAGTGATACATGAATTTACAATTGAAATGTACATGACACCGATGCGCGCCCAACGATGTGCCTGCAGAGGACCCATAATAATTCAGAACGACCGAGGATGGGGAGGGAGAGGGGGAGGGAGAGGGGGAGGGGAAGAGGAAGGCGGCTGAGTAAAGGTAAATGTAAATGTAAATTTTAGAGCGACACAGATTTCGTGAGGGAACTTACTGACACTTAATGGTCAACAAAGACATCGAGTGTGCATGGCGTTGGAGCACTGAAGGTCGTTCTTTTATGAGTGACATGCGACGAGCTCGACGAATGACAGACGCAGACGAAATGGACGTGATGCCGCGCTGAGCAAAAACCACATATCCAGACAGTTGAGGGGCTTGGAGGAGGCGCATTAGTGCTGTTCTTGAAACTATCGAGATATTAATGCTTTCAAATAAAACTAGTCTTAGTGCATATTCTGTAAAAAAATTTGCTCCCAAGTTCCAATTTAGTAGCATCAAAAAGCCAATGCGAACTTTCTTTTCGCCATGAGGACCCACGTAATATTGAAACTTCAAACTTGTGTTTCTCGAAATACAAAAACTGCACTTATGCGCCTTCTCTCCAAGCCTCTCAGTTCCAGTGTTGATTCTAGCAAATTGGTAACACTGATTCTCCTCCATTTAAATGCATTGTAAATAATCGATTCTGAGCGAGGTAGCATGCCTAGATGTACCTACATCGATTGTTTTGCGCACATTCCAATCTTCTCTGATGTAAGGATTTATCGCAATTTTTCCATGAGCCCCAGAAGGCATGGATTTATATGTAAAATAGGGCCCACGTGAAAACTGTGAAAAGCCCAGACGTCAGAAGGGCGACGGAATGATAGAATGTACTGGCACTGCTGTGTCAAGGAAAAACGTCGTATGAACATTCAAATGTTGCCAAATTTTCGCCGATGAAAATTATATTTAGGAGGAATGTAATGTATATTCCTCCCTGAAATTTTACAGATGTTTTATATTTTATAACGGACAAAATTGTCTGAAGAATTTGAAGAAAAATATTTACAGCTTTCCCTATAAATTCTAATTTTATCAAAGGAAATTTGGCAACATCTGAAGGTCCATACGGTGTTTTTCTTGCAGGTGGAGCAGCCTCGCCAATTAGAGAATGTCCCGTAGCCCAAGTTGGGTGAGCGAAGCCCCCAATCTCATTTTACATACGTCACGATCGCGTCGTAGACGCTCATACAAAAGGGGAGACTGGTCCTCCAAATCCAAGGATATGTTGACGGCGAAACTGCAAAAACGCGTTTGCTGCGTTTCAAAGTCTCCTTTCCTGTTTTATTTTATCGAGGAAAAACGAACCAACACCATCGCTTAAATCAGGAAAGTTTTGAAGAAAAGACTTGGAGTAATTTTCCACTTCAAAAATGAAGTAAGACAGGAAGTGGGATTTTGCAATGTCACCAACCGACTTACTCGTTTTTGCACTTTCACCATACAATACTGCCGTGCTGAGAAAGAACGCCGTATGAGCATTCGAGAGCTGCCAAATTTCCTTCGATAAAGTGTTTATTTTTGAAGAAAATTATGATTATTTTTCTTTGAAATTTTCAGACACTTTAGATCGAATTACAAACAAAATTATTTGAGAAATTGGCAGAAATACATTCAAAAATTTTCCTGAAAATTAGTGATTTGAAAAAGGAATTTTGGCAACGCCTGAAGGCTCATACGGCGTTTTTTCTTAGCACGGCAGCATTGATGCAATACTGCACTGAGGAGGAACACCATTGCGAGCGCATGCATTTTCAAACATTGCCTTTCTTTTGATGCATGTGATTGAGTCGCCAGGCAAAAGGGCCTTTAGGGTGGAAACTTCAGTTTTTCAGTGCAGTGAACTAGTATGGAGCCAGAAATATGGATTTTTAGTTTCAGTTGCTAAACGTCTTTTTCATACTCTTAGGAACTTAACATCAAAATTTGATGGGACAGTTTGGAATGTTAAATTGCTGTTGTAGGTTTTTGAAATTCGTCGTTTTTAAAACAGTGCATGCAAACATCGACCGTGCTTTAAAAAAAAATCAAATAGAAATTCTATTAAAGGGGGAATGTTCAAATTGTTTTAGTTTTTTTTTGCGCCAACTAATGCAGAATGTTCCCGTTCCCTCTTAAGCTGTTGTATAGTTACATCGACGACTCGCTCCTTTTGGTACAAGGTTTCTCTTTCGCGCAAACAGAAACTGCTGTAATAAGTTATTTATTTTATTATTTTCTTTTTTGAGGGCCCCTTGGTCTAACTCCGTCACAATTAATAATTTTCCATCCTTAATTTTAAAACAATTCATAGTTGGACCTCATATTTAGAATTCAATCCGATCAGTGTTCACTGTAAGTCTAATAATGAATCTGACTCAGTTTTAGTCAATTGCGTTTATTCAGAGGATTCATCGATATTGTCAGTCGTTCCTTGGAGCTGCGGTTCATAAACCACATTTGAATCTGTCATGAAAGATCTATAGAAAATCGTAAGAAAAGACAGAATTTTCGCTGAGTCATTTCCTTTCGTTCATATGATGCAATTAACTAGGCATAACTACATTAGAAGATGAAAGTGAGATTAAATCGATTTAATCTTCAAGTGAAACCAAAACCGCTGTGCGTTATTGTCTACCTACAAAGCTAACGGAGGAGTCAAGGAAAGCAAGATGCTAAGAAATTTCTAAACTGTTTGGTACGAAAATCCTTTTTGCATGGGCACTTTTAGTGTGAAATAAACGCATCCATGAATGTAATGTACTGCAAAAATTTATCAAAATACTCCACAAGCATGAACTGGGTTAGAGGATAAGACACTGTGTTACAAAATTTTAAGACACGGTGCTCTTCTTGCTCTAAAATTGCTTATGTTTAACATTTGGGGATCCAGTCCCATAGATAGACAGCGTATGTATTGTGTCAGTCCGTTTGACGTTGATAATATTTTAGAGATCATCGAAATAATTTTTGCCTAATCCTCCATCAAATTGCTTAAATGGGATTTTTTCTATGATGATTAATTTTAATATAATCTAGAGGATGCAAAAAATAGAAAGACCAAAATCAAACGATGGCGTCAAGTTAAAAATCATTTAATTTTTATCTTGTTTTGACGTTGAGGTAGTTTCAGAGAGTGAGTTTTCCTAATTTCTGCTATTTGGTAAGAACAGTAACTTTTAATGCAAGCGAGGAATAAACTACTTTGGCTCTGCATGAGGATTATAAAATAATACGTAGTTGGTGAGATTCCAAGAACCCTTTTCTCGATTGTCCAGTTTTAACATATATTCATCCATTTCATCTATTCTTAATTTGTATATGCGAATAAAAACATGTCAGTCCTCTATTTAAATTGTCGTAATTTCCACAGAATATTCATAAAGTTTAGGAGAAAAAGTATAGAAAATGAACTTTGATTGTTTTTTTTAAATAAATAAAAATTTAAAAAAAATTAAATAAAAATGTGGGAAATACGTTTAACGCAGCAACATGAGATACGTGCCATAAAACTTTAAAGTCCAGCTATTGTAAACAGTTCATTTTATTGTATTTTTTAAAAAATATAGAATGACCATCATATTGCAATAAAAAAGGAAGTTTCTCCCGATCACTCAATACCTTGAATATTTTACCATATTCCATGACTATTATATTACATCAGATTCAAACAGGAATTTGTTGTGTTGTGCCACACCGTAATGGAAGTAATTTTTCCCAACCTTTTCATTATTCGAAAACTTGGCTCAGTTTCCCAAAATAACGTTGTGTTTGAAGAATGATACGCTATAATATGGCCTCAAGTTATTTTGAAAAATCATCCTATCACGACACTTTGCAGTATTTTAAAGGTTTGGAAATTTCACGACCAAAACCAGAATATGGTACCCTCAGCTCCCTCCGGACTTCTACTCTTCTTGCAAAAAAGTAATAAATGAATAAATGGAAAAAAAAGGAAGTAGAAAAATTTAAAAAAATTGAATGTACTCAAAAGTTGTAAAAAAATTAAATTAAAATTGACCATTGCCACAGTTGGATCGCATTTAGCAAAAGGGAACCAGCACAATTACAGTGTTATTAAAATGATACTCCACCAGAAGTATCTAAAATATCTCCCAAAACAGCAAATTGTTTTTGCATTCCACCAAAAAATTGTTAATTTTAAAGGAGAATAAAGGTGTTAATTTTAATACTGTATATATATTTAGTATTTTTGAAAGAAAAAAAAGAAATTGCAAGATTTTGAAGACACTGTAATCACGATGGTTCTTTTTTAATAAATGCGATCCAGTTGTGTAATCCTTGTTAAAATCACGGATAAATTCAGGAGCATGCACGAAATCAAGTTTTCACAAGTACCTGCTTTGTGAGTTCCATGATTGCACGTGTGGAGTAAGCACAAAATTATGAATGAACGTGTACGGAGCATGCGTTTTATAGTTACTCCCGCCGATTGATGTTCGCGAGCGAGGGTGCCTGATTGTGCTAAGAAGCGGCACTTATTTCACGTGGCTCGGTCCAAATTATGCCGATTTTATCGCACTGATTAGCAACTTGGGTCGCGGGGGTCTTAGTGGCGACCACACTTCTTATCCGCCCCCTCCGTCACACCCCCTCCCCTTCCTCCGAAGATACAAAGCCGCTCCGCTCTGTAGTAGCGTACACTGACCTTGACAAATATAATTATTATTAAAACCAGAAGCGGCCCCACATTTACTTTGCTATCTCGACGTTCCCTTGCCTTTGGCCCCAATCAAAGTCGCTACCATCTAAAAGTTTGCCCAATATTAGCGCAACAACGTCGCCTAGTTTGTGCGCCATTAACCTGAACTGCCGCGATAAGGGAAAACGTCGTATGACCCACCAAGTGTCGCCAAATTGCCTTCGACAAATGACACATTTGCAGGAAAATTTTTGAATATTTCTTTTCCGATTTTTCGGAGGATTTTGTTCGTATTTTGATCTTATAAATCTGAAAATTTCAAGTGAAAATATTCATAACTTTTCTCAAAAATAGGAATAAATAGGTAAAATAGGTTTTTCCTGGGAGTAAATTTGGCAACATTCGAATGTTTATACGGCGTTTTCCCTCGGCACGGTAGTAAAGAGATTCGTGTAAGATAAATCGTGGGGTCGATTATTTGGGTCAAAATAAAAGTTTTTAGATGTATAAATTTCTCTACTAAAACATTACCCCTTCCTTGGGACATATACAGCTCCGACGTACTAGTAATACGATTTTTCAAACATTACGGCAACGTGCGAACGGCTATGGATCAATGAATACGCGAATTTAAGTTCAGGAGTAAGTAGCAATGAGTAAGTTGCTTTGTCTAGCTAGATGTTCACCGAAAAAATAGGGATGTAACGTATATCAGGAGTTAGGATTCAATGAGTGTCAAATCTTTATGATTAATTTTGGTTATTAAAATATTCAGTGACTTATAATCCTTCAATGAATGTAGCTTTAGCTTTAAAAGTAAACAATAGAACGCTTAATACCTAAAAAAAGTCCAATTCGTCAAAGAGTTTTTTTTCTTTTGACTAAAAACAAACTTTTTCTCGTTTGCAGAAGCGTAACTTGACTCTTTCTCTTCTGTACAAAAGCAATTAACTTTGACATGTTTTCCACGTCTTCGTTGACCCAAAATGTGACGAAAGTCTCTAATTTTCCTACTAGAGGGACATTTTGCATAGTAAACTGAGTATAGTAAACCCCAGATGACTTTTGATTTAAGTATATTAGAAATAAAGTCTACAATACCCAAATACCACAAAATACCCAATGCGCTGCAGTATCAGTTAACGCAATGATAACAAAGCTAACCATTACAAGAATATCGTTGGAAATATTTTTCTCTCTCTCATTTTTTTTAAGACAGACTTATTTTCAATACCCTCCTTTCTTTACCCCAAAATATAAATAGTTACAAAAACCGGATACACATTTTAAATGTCAATTTTCCAAAACACATATGGAAAATTTCGAGAATAATTAAACAAATTTGATATAATTTTGTTATTTTTCCCCTTGAAATGTCGATTCAAGAGAGACAATGGAAGATGAAGACGATGGAGGAATACGCCCTATGATTTTAATGTGTGTACTGCGCTAAAACCGCAACTGGCCTGCTTCCACGGCGACTTATAACACGTATTATCCAGGTAAGTCATTTAATCAATTAAATGATCTCGAGCGGTTTCTGTCGTGGCGCTGACCACCAATTTATATCCCAATTACGGTCGAGAAGTACAGGCCCTCAAGGATACTCAATACACAATGTAGCTGTCACTCATTTCAATATGAATTTATTGAGATGCACAACTTGTTGCTACCAATATCTTGCTGTGATAAGCAACAGTAGCGAGATGTGAGTGATGGATTATCGATATTTCCCTATTTGAAGCTATGGCAAAGAATCGATTATTAAGGTGTTCGTTGCGAACACCCTGTTTATCGATCCTTTTCCATAGGTTTAAATGGCAGATCAATCGATATATCGCAAAGCACGCTACGCCACTGATTAGCAAGAACCGCGCATAGACGCTGTTAGTGATAACGGTACTGTAAGGATTCTTCGCTCTTCGTTTCGAGTTGGATCCAAACAATGACAATGACATAACCTTTTCCAATGATATCAATTAATATGAATCGATATAAATGCAAATTTTCCGTGGCGTAACTATAATACACGGGGAAAAATCGATGGCTTATAAACCAATTAGTGGCTCATATGGAACACCACTAATATTAGTGAAAGCATACACATAATAATAGTACATTTATACTTTAGTTATGGTATATACCATACTATGGTACGAGCTACCACAGTACCATACTATGGTAAGAGCTACCACAGTATGGTTCACAGACTGATAATCATTAGTTCATATACAACTATTAATGGTGTTCCATATGAAACAATAATTGGTTTATAAGCCATAACTTTTTCTCAGTGAGAGTGTCTACATATTATAAGGCTTGCATCAGTGGCAATTTTGAAAGTTGGCAACACTGTTTTTCCTCCATTTTAATTCGTGAAAAATATCGATTTTAGGTGAGGTGGAAAAGATTCAGCCCGAAAACATCCACAAACTACCGCTTTCTCAGTGTTAGTGAAAATCCTAATTGTTGACCTCTTTTTAGCGGCTCTGGTGCTTGCACTAGAGCTGCTATTCCGGACGGTCCCAGCTGGGGAGTATCAACGGACCATGTTACATTGGAGAGACCGCGTGTTGGTTGATGGGAATCGGCGCCATTTTCTGGTGTTTAGGGGGGACTGATTTTATTTTAATTGATATCTTTTTCCTGTGAGCGAATGCTATGTTGTGTAGTGTATTTTTGGAATCATGGTGATACTATCAATAATTCAAAACGGGTCTGTGCTTTAATCTCGCACTGGAAAAAATGTACTTTACGTTTAAAATTTGAAAATTCAAATCTATAAGTTTTCGCGCTTTTTTCGAAGAATGCCGTGGTTGGAGCTTCCTAGTCATACTACTCGACATCAGCTGATAGCAAACAAAGGTTACCAAGGAAACCGTAAACGCGTAACAACTACCTACCGTCGCCAGAGCCGCTTTCCGACGCGAATGCGTTGGAGCTTCCTGCTTGTTTTTCTGTACTAGCGTTAAAGTCTCTGAGGATATATTTTAGTTGAACGATAGCTACCAGCAAACAACCATTTTAATGACCGCTAAGTGGCGCAACGTGGATAGGAGGCCTGCAGTGAAGGTAGAAAACAAAATGAAACCCAAATTAGTTTCAGTTGACGACTTACATGTTGATTTTGTATTTATTTGCGAGTAGGTACTTTGAATGAACAAAAATTTCACTAATTTTAATGCCTACAATGAGCTTTAATCTCTCATTTACGATTCAATTTTGGTACATTTTTATTTGTCCAGCATATTATGAACACATTTTAATGTAGGAAAATATACTATAATGCCTCCAGTTGCGAGGCGTGAATGATCGATTATCGATTTCCCACTTGAAGCCTTAATAAAGAATCGATTATTAAGGTGTTCGCTACGAACACCCTGTTTACTGTTTTCCCTCTATTTAAATCCATTTAAAATATCGATGTTAGGTGAGGCAAGCTGCCTCACCAAGAGATTCATTATACATTTAATTCGAGGATAAACAGTGTTGCCAACTTTTAAGAATTGCCACTGCTCAGAGTTGTCTTTTAGTTGTTGGGCGCTTCTGGGTACCAGATGCGCCCTTTCCAGCCGTTCGACTCCCCCGATGTAACATGTACTATACTACATACCGTTTTGCATTATGGGTAATGACGCCATTCTGGTACACCCGGGAAAATTTGATTTTTTTCTGCATCTGGTATTCGTAAAAGTTTTCGTGAAATGTTTTGCTTTTAAGCATAACAATCTCGCACGGACGTATTACCTGGTTAAACTATTTTGGGGCTTCGTTATGCTTAAATGCCTCATATTCGAGGTTGTAGTTTCAGATTGATTCGAAAAAATCACGAACAGTCACGTGATCTCTTCATTTTAGTGACGTACTGTGCTATTTTGTGATTGGTTCATTTTCTCGGCGCAGCATCGTCAAGCGTCAGCTGTTTGCGGCTCTGGGTTGAAGGTTTAAGGTTGCCGGCCAGGTTGGCCTAGTGGTCAGCACGTCTGACTCTAGGCCAATAGGTCCCGGGTTCGAATCCCGGTGGTGGCGACANTGTGCATTAAGACATGATCCCTGAGACCCATAAGAATACAAGCATAACAGGGCTCATGTGGTAATGCACATAGTTCCGTTTGGCAGAAATACGTCCATTAGCCAGATTGGCTCAAAACAACGGCTCACTCAGCGGGAGTTCAGTAACAATACTGCTTTCCACATAATTTATTTTTTGTTATTTGCAGTGGCGTGGCGTGCTTTGCGATATATCGATCGATCTGCCGTATAAACCTATGGAAAAGAATCGATAAATAGGGTGTTCATAACGAACACCTTAATAATCGATTTACCATAGCTTCAATTGGGGGAAATATCGATAATCGATTGTTCACGCCACGCCACTGGTTATTTGAGTTATGCGTTTTTTGCTTAGCACGACAAAAATACTGACATGCGGTAAGTGGGTTTTAATAAAGAGTGCCGCCGCCGCGTGTTATATGGGTGCGCAGAAACACGCTAGTTCTGGAGGTTGAAGCTACGAAAATGTGAAAAAATGTCATGCAAACATTCGGAAGTTGCTGAACCTCTGCGGAAAAAAATTAACGATTTTGAAAAAGTTATGGTTGTTTTTCGTTGAAAAAGAGACATTACATTAAATTGCACCTGCAATTATGTAGGATGCACATAAATTGTCCGGATGATTATGTTTTTATCAGCAGAAATTTGGCAACGTTCAAAATACACCACGGCGTTCCTCATTAGCTCAGCATAATAGATGCTACGAGATACCAAACTCGTGTCACAGATAAACAGTATACAGTGGC